TTCATCCGGTCAGCGTAACACCTACACCACCAGCTTCAGCACAACCAGGGGGAAACGACAGCAGGCTGTTTTCAAACTTATATGTTTGGGGGGAAAACCCCACACCGCACAGGAGCTGTGGACGGGCATGGAACAACAGACCGATGAGTGGTTGTTGCCACTGAGCCTCAAGCCCGTCCTGGTGGTGTGCGATAATGGGCGAAATCTCGTAGCAGCTCTGGGCCTAGCCGGTTTGAGGCACATCCCTTGCCTGGCACATGTGCTGAATTTGGTGGTGCAGAAATTCCTAAAAAACTACCCAGATATATCAGAGCTGCTGCAGAAAGTGCGGGCCGTCTGTGCGCGCTTTTGGCATTCTCACCCTGCTACTGCTCGCCTGTCTTCGCTGCAGTGTAACTTTGGCCTTCCCGCTAACCGCCTCATGAGCCGGCGATAGTGGAGTTTCATAGAGTGATATTGTGTATTCAGGCGCTTGAAAGGGTGGAAAAAATTATATCAGCTGCTGATATATATGGAGTTTCAGCTGCAGCACGCACGGGTCAGTCGCTCTGTGGAACAGAGTTTTCTTTTTTATATGTCCCAATATTTTGGTGGCTACCCCAATTAAATATATATATATATATATAAAAAACAGTGTTGGCTACCTCCTCCACCGCCACGGTCACCGCCTCCTCAATCTATGGGTCACTTAGTATAAACTATGTACACAATAGCAGAGGCTTATGAAGGCCTTTTCTCCATGCATCAGGGGTTGAGCATTTCTCAATGCATCAGGACTGCAAGAAATACACTGCAGGCCACAAATGTTTCTTTTTTTACATGTCCCAATATTTTGGGGGCTTCCCTAATTAAAAAAAAAAAAAATATATATATATATAAAAACCAGTGTTGGCTACCTCCTCCTCCTCCACCGCCGCTTCCACCTACACCGTCACGGTCACCACCTCCTCAACCTATGGGTCACTTAGTATAAACTATGTACACAATAGCAGAGGCTTGTGAAGGCCTTTTCTCCATGCATCAGGAGTTGAGCATTTCTCCATGCATCAGGACTGCAAGAAATGCACTGCAAGCCGCAAATGTTTCTTTTTTTATATGTCCCAATATTTTGGGGGCTACCCCAATTAAAAAAACAAGCAAAACAAACAAATAAAAACCAGTGTTGGCTACCTCCTCCTCCTCTGCCGCCGCTTCCACCTACACCGCCACGGTCACCGCCTCCTCAACCTATGGGTCACTTAGTATAAACTACGTACACAATAGCAGAGGCTTGTGAAGGACTTTTCTCAATGCATCAGGAGTTGAGCTCAGTTTGAACAATGAAAGAGAATACCCTGCACTCCAACCCTCTCTCAAATGGATAATTCTGGTGATCCTCCTGACAGCCATGCTTTAGATTTTGATTTATGTTCTTCCAAAGCTAAAATCAAAGATTCCATCTAGTACTATTTTATGGCTCAGCTGTATTTTAAATTTTTATGTTATTTTAAGTGGTTTCCCTATCCACATTTGTTTGCAGGGCACTTGTCCTACTCGTACTCCCATTTTACTTTCTTTTGCAGCCCCCTAGCCCTTTCCAGGACTTTTTAAGAGGCATTTCTGTGCCCAAAAGTTCGGGTCCCGATTGACTTCAATGGGGTTCAGGGTCAAATTCGGGGTCAAGTTCGATCCCAAACCCAGACTTTTTTTCAAAGTTTGGCCGAAGCCGCCGGACCCGAACATCCAGGTGTCCGCTCAATTCTAGTCATCACCTTTGCATTCTGTATATATAATAAAAACACTAAAACACACAAAGAAATACATTATGATGGAAGTCTTCATCCACATTTTCAACCGTGCGATGGCACCTCAGCTTCCCGCTTGTGAGGGCTGCAAGGAATGTTGTTCGTCTGATTCTCTCTTCCCTTTACAGAGGTCCCTTCGAGGCTATGAAACGTTGGTGGTCAGGCTTTATTATGGCCGTCAAAACACCTACTTGCTGCTTATCTTTCTCAACCACGGTTTTTGAAAATCGTCTCGTACTTCCTTATGTCATTTTAATCAAGCTTCAGGGACTGGGTAATTTGCTTCAACCGGATCTTACAAGGATTCTCAGGATCTGGGGTAGCTTGCCAAGAATCTGCCGCTGGTTTTAACCCTAGAGTGATGAATCCAGGGAGTCACTTCCGCCACCTTTACAGTTCACAAAATTGTCCAAGTGTGTCTTTATGTTTTTCTTGGCCTTCTGTAAAATATGGTACTGACAGAGGTTAACAGGATAAGCCCCAAGCTTTAATTCAACATGTTTAGGTGGAATATTACGGGCGAGTCTTGGAGGATTATTTTCTGCCCATACTCCTGGAATGTCAAATAATGATCCATCACTCTTTGGGTTTGGGGAGTCTAATACCTGTCTAATAGCTTCTTTCCCAGTAGCTCCTTTTACAGTAACAGTCTTTCCAGAGGGAGGGGATACTAAGTTGGTCACAACAGAGTGTTCAGCACCTGTATCAATCATGAAGGGACTTTCTTTCCCCCTATTGGTACTTCGACCATAGGCTCCGCTCGGCCAAGGGGGATGGAGCCCGGTCTGTATCAATAGTCCTGCATGACTGTATCAGCCAGACCCACAAAGTCCCTATCCCTTGGTCTCTTAATAGGGCGGTAGTATCTACCTTCCTGGACGTCTCCTCTGTTACTACTGTCGCTCCCTCCAAGACTTCCTCTTCCTCTATAGCTACCTCTATAACCACCTCGTCCCCTTCTCTCATCTTGTCTATAACTTGCTTTATATTCCCTCTGTAGGCAGTCGTTCTTTCCATGTCCTTCCTTTCTAAAATAGGTACATTGATTTCTACCTAACTATTGTCTGTCATTCCTAATCTCATCTTCCCTTTCTATCTCTCCTCCTTGTCTACCCACTCCTGTAATTGCTACAGCTAGCATATCCACTCTCTTTTTCATCCTGCGTTCCTCCTCACGCTTCCCTATTCATATAAACCCTGTTTGCGACTTCCATTAGCTGTGTTATGGACATCCCTGCAAATCATTCAAACTTTTGCAATTTCCTTTTAATGTCACTCTGGGCCTGGCTGACGAATGCCGAACTGGTAAGCTTTTAAATGAATCATATCAGCACCGTTTATGTTCCAATTAGGATTCGTATTTGGGAAATGGGTAGCAGCCCAAGCCGCCGGGTTCGCCTGGTTCTGGGCACGGGCAGTCTCCTCAAGAGCTTTAAGGGCCAATTGATTAATATGGGTCCTTTCCTCAGAACTGAATAAAGTCAATAGTAACTGTTGACAATCAGCGCAAGTAGGGTTGTGGGTTTGTATGATCGATGTGACCAAATCAGTCATAGCTTGTGGTTTTTCTGTGTATGAGGGGTTATGGGTATTCCAAATAAATAAGTCGGTTGTAGGGAACGTATACAAATACAGGGTCTCCCAACTGAAACTGGCCATTACCATCAATGTATGTTGGGCCAGGAGTAGGTCGGAGAGGCATCTGTGAATGCCAGGTTGGAGGGTACCAGTAATCATACATGTTAAAACCAAACTATGGACATTTGTAGAATATTATAGTCTAACAAGTTCCGGTTGGGGGTCGTCAGGTGAGTAGAGGAAGAAAAGTTAATAATCTCAGTTTGTAATTTAGTAAGGGGGATATCTCGGACAAGGCTGGGAGGGGCCCATCCAGTAACAAAAAAGGCTAAAAGTGTATTCCAGCGTTTTATACCATTTCATCCAGATGTATTTTAGACTCAGTTACTGTTACTGAAGGCACACAAGGCTCAGTAGTTATAGTGCTATGTCAGTGGTTATGGTACACTGTCATTGCTGAGAATTATTTGGTTTAATGGACTCAGTTACTGTTATTAAGAATTTTCCTCACAATTTTGACTGTTACTAATAAAATTGAACAATAATAAAATACACTAAAATACACTCCTACCAAAAAGGGGCTTCAGTTCAGGGTACAAAGAACCAGTGGGGGTAAGCACAGGAATAGGTGTGTCCAGAACCGATAAGCTGGTATCTAAGGTGGGTGAGTGGGTAGGCGGAGACAATGGTGCAGGGGAAGTGGAAACAGCGGCTATAGCAGTTTTAGTTTGGGAGGAAGAGTAGGGGGTTGGTAAAGGGTGTCCAAACTAGGTGGAGTTGAGGCCTTAGTGGACAAACGAGTTCTGGAAACCATGAGGCTGCATTGTTCCTTGTGGCATAACTTGATCCAATTAGACTGTTTTCCAAACAATCAATATACGGAAACTAAAAATAAAGCTCCGGCATACTAGTTATAACATTGTGAACCTGCTGTATTAAATCTAGATCAAGGCTACCACAGGAGGGCCACTGGTTACCAGAACAGGCCATTCTCTGCTACACAGAGTATTTTAATCTTTTGGGGGACAGTGTTACACCATAATCCCAAGCAGCATATCTCTTAGCAAAGTTTTGTTTTTTTTGTTTTTTTTTAACATACAAGACAAAGGACCAACAATTTGTGAATCAGACGCACCCATGATTTCAACGGAGAGTCTGATTCAAAGCAGTACAAATATACAAACACAGTTACAATTGACACATAAATCTCCTTATTAATAACACCATGTGGCGTGGTTACCAGGCCAGAACACACAGGATCTTCACACGTTTCACAACATTAATGACGTCTCAGAACATAGTCAAAACCCACCAAAAGCTATACAATTATCTATAGTTAATCAACGTCTAAACCACCCGATCGCCTAATATTTCTACAACCCCATATCAATAGTCAGTTGTTATAGTGTCGGTGGTTATGGTGTTGAGCGTAATGAAATACTATATTCTCTTTAAAAGTCCGCTAAACAGCATATACATCAAAATTTAGAAAGATATACAGATTATAGACAAGAGCTTAGCTATACAATATTTACACTAGAATCTAGCTAAACAATATATATATACACATCAGGGTTTAACTTGACAATATATTTGGAGACTATGTTCTAAACTGAACAGAGCTTATACTGGAGTTGAGTTAATCAAATAGCTCCACACTTCGAGATCTAGTGAACTAAATTTACAACAGAATTCAACTAGTCTACTCACTCCAGAATCTGCTATCTAGTGAACGGAATTTACAACAGAGTTCAACTAGTCCAGAAACCAGAATCAGAAAATACTTCGAGATCTAGCAAATGGAATTTACAACAGAGTTCAACTAGTCCAGAAACCAGAATTTGACTGAACATATATACATCAGAATTCAGCCGGACAAACAGACCCTATGCTAAACGGGCTAGCTACAGAGCATTTAGCTTAAGGCGGAGATCGGCCGCCTCTTCTTTCCTGTGAGAAAGGTCAGATACAGAAACAGATTTTACCCCTTGTGGGTAACCTTAAGTTCCTCGACTCGGGATTCGAAATTCATCGACGGGGCACCCCGTCAGCCAATGGTCTCTTGGACAAAGAAGGCCCAATGGCGCCAAGATGAAAGGAGGTGCACGCAGTGTCGGTCAAGGGGTGTTGCCGTGGAGAGGTGGGTAAAAATATTTACCATCTCGGGGGTCTCTGCGATGATTTCCCAAGCCAATTGCACCAGATATGTTACAGGGGAACACTAAAGAAGCCACGCACAGAGAGTCTGGACACAGGTCATTTCAGGAAGCAAAGGTCTTTATTCTCACCGATCAAGTCTCAGTTGAACCCATGTTCAAAAGGTCTGAGCACTGAGCACATGGAGTAGAGACTTTGTATAAGCTATGCATCCCCCATCTGTACCCTTACACCAATCAGCAAACAGGATTACCTTATATGGACAGGCAATATGGGACTATGAGACAATGGAATGTGGTTTCAGTTCTTGCACATGCTCAGTACATTGATGACAGTATCTTAGCTACATGTAACTAACAGTTATGCCACATGGAAATTTTAGGCCTACTAAATGTTGGACCAAGCTGAAATCCCATCACAAAAGAACTATATGAAATAATCGGTACAGAGACAGCCTGGAAAACCTACAAACCAAACTGGCAATAGAAAGAAGTAGTGTTTTGTTAATAATGTTAGAGAAATGCATTAATTGGGATCAGTACAGTTTAAGGAATACTATATGCACCCAGACCACTTAATTTCATTGAAGTGGTTTGGGTGCAGTGTCCGTGTTCCCTTAACCCTGCAATGTAAAACCCTGCTGATTCAGAGAAACTTTGGGTTTGCAATGTTTATAAAGCAGGGTAAGACTGCCTCTAGGCAATTCCTGCAGTATAATGGAGTTTGACTCTATGAAACAAGTGTTACTGGGCAGCAAAGGGGGGTAAGTATACATCCCCTGTTGGTTCAGTAAGCTACTGGTGCAATAGTAGGGTTTCCTGTCTGGAGTTCTGTTAGGACGTTAAAGTGCAGGCTGGAAAACTGGTGCATGTGTTCTCACTGTCTCACAGAGTGCCGGGACTGCGACGAACCACAGACCACCAGGGGAGGATTTCTATAGCGCTGCAAGAAGATCTTTTGATATCCCTGTTGGCTCGAGTGTGGGGTCTGATCCGAGCCCGGGCCCTAGGCAGCCCTCTTTGTCACCTAATGGCTTTGGCAGCGGTGCCACTCTTCATCTGGCACCCAGCGCACATGTACCCATATCGCCCCCTAGTTTTGCCACAGCACTCAATTTTAGTTTAATGTGGTTCCATGTTCCCTTGTAGTTTATTATGGCTATATTTGTTCACAGTTCACTGGCCTGTGCACAAGGGTTACTATGATGCTGTGTTTGCCCTTGGTTGCTCATGATCCATTTCATTATCTTGGGTTACCACGGCACACCTCCTTCTTGTATCTCTTTGGTTCCTGAGCATACTGACATCACACCCTGACATTGAGGCATGTGTTTGGGTGGGAATTTGTTTATACCAAGATATTTATTCTGTTTATGCTACTGATGTATTTCGTAGATGATTAAGACCATAGGGCCATATTTGTTCCTTTCGATCAAATACATTTTTGTCTTCTCCTTTATACTCTGAAGCTTATGTATTGCTTTCCCTGATTATACTTTAGTGATTGCAAGTCCTTCTCATATTGCTCCGGTGTCTTACAATATACATCTTATGTGCAGCATATCTTTTTTGTTTTGCTGTGTTATCTGTAATGCAATTGTTTGCCTCTGAAAATTTTGCCATTTTGATTGCTCTGTTGACAGAGAGTAGCTGATATTTTATCCAGAAGCTGATATGCCCCTGCCTGAAATTGGAGCTCTCTCTGTAACTGAGTAGGTGGCAAACTAGATTTTTCCACCTGTGAGCCCTTTGTTGTGTTTTAATGTGGGCGTCGTTGGACATAAAAAAAAACAAAAAAACAATTCTTGCCTCCCCTGGTTTTGCCTCATTGGCAATCATGGATAAAGCAAAGCACTCCAAGTTTGTAGGTTTCCTTGTAAAGGTTTGTTGCAACTCCATGTTTGTCTACCTGGAGTTAGACCTAGCAACAGGACACGGAAGACTACCCTAGCAAATTCATTAGTCTCTGACTACTGTGTGTGAACTTCAAGAGAGCCAAAGCTGGAACCCTCGCCATATTTAATGGAGTGTATGGTGACTAACTGAAAAATTAGAAGTCCCCAGAAAGCTTTGCAACATTCAGCTTCCAAAGTACGATCTACTGAATACACTGGTGTTCAATAGTCTGTAATAGTAGAACTGTAGTAGAAAACTGCATAGTAGCTATATCACGTATCATTATGCCTGTCGCAAAAGGCAAGGTTTCTAAGAACTCCATGAAGACAATTCCCATAATGCTTTTCCGCTGGAGAAAGGTTATGAGATGCTTTAGAAAATGCAGGCGCAGTACCTCCTGAATACTCACTCCATATCACCATATCACTATCGCCATTATTATCATTATTTTATTATTTATATAGCGCCATCAGACTCGCTTTACTTTATGCTTAGATGAGATGTCTGCAACTGAGAAATTAAACCAAGCATTTGTACAAAAGGCCACTGAGAGGATCTTTATTCTGTATTTTGTGTTGACTAGATTAGTGGGGAGATGCCACATGTTATAAATTTATATCACAACGCATAAAGCATTTCTGGCATAAAGTGCGTCTGCATGCCATCCACTTGGTAAAGTTTCCATCAGATGTCATGACTAGATCTGGAGAGAATGGCAATGGCTACTTTTTCTTTTTATATTTTCTGACAGTATTAAATCATTTGGAATTTTTTGTTTCCAACCCCCTCAGCTTTGTTTTAGATTTCCTTCATATAGAAATAAAATGTCATGGTCGGATAATAATTCTTATTCATGCACTTTATTTTGAATATGCAAGTAAAGTCATAGTAAATAAAATAATAGACTCTCCTATTCACTGCACATACCACTGTCAAGTCCTCAAGAAGAGAGTTAAAGGACCACTCCAGGCCCAATAACAAGTTGTTATAGGATCTGCAGGTCGTGTGTTCTATCTTTCCTTATGGGATTAAAACCTTTTTTTTAATGGTTTACCCCTAACGCTATTTTCACACTACCAGAGGCAGGGCCCCGGTGCAAAAATTTCCCTAGGGAAATACATCTACCTCCCACCCCATATGTCCCCGCCCCACCCACACATGCAGACAAACAGATACAGATGCAGACACATACATACAGACACACACACATACACACAGAGACTCACACATACAGACATACATACAGAAACACATAGATACATACACAGACATGTAGAGACACACACATACAAACACACATACAGACAGACACAAACTAACACTCATATACACACTCACATACACACACACACACACACACACACATACACTGAGACACAAACAAATTATTCATATAAAATGTCCACCCAGGCTCACTACCTGGGAAGCTGGCGTGGATCTGACCCTGGGGTCCAGTGGGGCTTCAGTGCGGCAGACAGCAGAGTTCCTGTCAGATGCGGCGAGGGAGCTGTGTTCTCTCTGCTCTGCTCCCTCGCGGGCTGTCTATTGATGATGTCATATTCCGGCTCCCGGCATCAGCAAACGGCGCAAGGGAGCAGAACACAGCTCCGTTGCCGCGAATGACAGGAACTCTGCCGCCCGATGGGGTGGAGGAGGGATCCATTAGGTGGCCAGTGGGGAATACGGAGGGGACGGCATCTAGGCGGCCCACAGTCGCAAGGGTCAAGGCTGCGGCCAGGCCACCTGCAGTGAGGGGCCTGGTCGCAGCTGCAACCTCTGCGACCATGGTAGGTACGCCACTGCACACCACCTATAGCTCAGCTCCTCGACTCCTCCTCCCTCCTTGACACTAATCATAACTTTTTAGAAGTGTCAGTTGTCACTCTCAGCCTATAGCTTGCCACTCATTGAGAGAAAGGTACATACATTTTAACATCCAAACTGTGTGCCCTTTTGCATTAGCCAGTCAATATGCATACTTTGGAACCCTCTAGGATTATTCAATGGTACACTCTGCATCCATTACACACGCACACACTCTGCATCCACTACACACACATATACTCTGCATGCACTACACCTACTGTGTACCCTATGCACACACAATCTGCATCCACTACACACACACACACTCTGCACTCCCTACACATACACACTGCATCCACTACGTGCGCACACACTGCATCCACTATGCGCGCACACTGTGCATCCACTATGCGCGCGCACACTCCATTCTCTACACACACCCCGCATTCACTACACACACCCTGCATCCACACACACGTAGATGTAGCACAGCATTGCAGAACATGTATTTGCTGATGCTAAATACGTACTAAAACACGGGTGACATTGAGTAAGTTGTATATAATGAAAGAAGAAATAAGTGTTTCTCATTAGGCTGAATGTTCTCCCCTCCTAGGTTTGTCTGCATTCTCTCACCTGTGCACTTTATTTACACTCTCCTGTAGCCCATGGAGCAGCGTAGCTAAGGGGAGTGGGCCTTGACATTGCCAGGAGACAGGCCATCTAAAGGTCAGGGTTTGGTCACTGGTAATGCTGGGGTGGAGTTTCAAGAGGAGTATAAGTAGTGGCCATTTTAGATCCAAGGATCACTTTAATCTAAGTTACACTACCTGTTTGTTGTCCCACCCATCCTCCCTTTACTTTCAGGTGTTTCCCGTTTGGTCACGGTGGCGGGGGATGGAGAGTAGAGTTGGGGGGAGAAAAGAGTGAGATGGGGAAAAAGTTTGGAGTTCAGGGCTAATAGGTAGGCCTTTGGACTGGTTTGGTAGGTTTGAGCTCATAGGTAGCTCCGAACCGGGGTGTGTA